CATGATCAGTGTGCGCGTCTACATGCGTGCGTGCGTGCGTGTGTACGTGCGTGCGTCCGCGTGTGTGTGTCATGATCAGTGTGCGCGTCTACGTGCGTGCGTGCGTGCGTGTGTACGTGCGTGCGTCCGCGTGTGTGTGTCATGATCAGTGTACGCGTCTACATGCGTGCGTGCGTGCGTGCGTGTGTACGTGCGTGCGTCCGCGTGTGTGTGTCATGATCAGTGTACGCGTCTACATGCGTGCGTGCGTGCGTGCATGCGTGCGTGCGTACGTGCGTCCGCGTGTGTGTGTCATGATCAGTGTGCGCGTCTACATGCGTGCATGCGTGCGTGCGTGCGTGCGTACGTGCGTCCGCGTGTGTGTGTCATGATCAGTGTGCGCGTCTACATGCGTGCGTGCGTGCGTGCGTACGTGCGTGCGTTCACGTGTGTGTCTCATGATCAGTGTGCTGTAAGATCATACGATGCTTACGTGGACGGCTCGACAGTGGCTGAGAGGTTCTGGTCCGATTCTTGCGCAGCCGACCGCTATTGGATGCTGCTCACAGGGGGGCGTGGCCTGGAAGCTGTAGTCACCGCCAGGCGCCAGCAAATCCTTCACAAGGAGCATTGACCAGCAATGATCCTGAGGGTGCGTGAGGTGGGGTGGCGCGTGTCTATGCTCGTCTTGTGTGTGTACGGGGTGGGTAGGGTATTATATCACCTGTCTGTCTTACCCCTAGCCTTTTATCGTGATCTAGAACGCTTTTCGTTGTTGGTATTTTAGCTGTAGCGTGATGAGCCGAGAATTCGCACTGGAATTGTGCTCATATTTCCAGCAATAACCTGCGTGCGTGCGTGCGTGCGTGCGTGCGTGCGTGCGTGCGCGTGTGTGTAGATGAGGGAGGTTATGGGGGATTACCGGCTTTACTGCACGCCACCGCGCCACAAATATGCCAATTACGGATTAAGCGCGCGCTCGGTATAGCTGCTGCGCTCACGCACTGAGAACATGATGACATAATAAAGCGATAAGCACCAATCACTGCATTCACGATGAGCTTCGATGGGTGCAAGATGGCAATCCCGTGTTCATAGACCGCCGTGTCCGAGCTCCGTCACCTCTAAACTACACTCGCACGCACGCACACACACTACACATACAGCCCAACGCAAGCACAGACCTAAATAATGCTGCATCTCCCCGATAGATGGCGCAACACGATTAACAAACGCCGAGCAACGAATAGCGAGATCCGGACAAAAAGCTTACGATAGCATGTGACAGGACATGACAGCACGCGGCAGTACACGACAGCACGTGACAGCACGCGATGCCATGTGACAACACATGGTGTCACCTCGTACACGCACACGCACGCACGCACGCGCGAATGCCCACGCACACACGCACACATGCCCAAGCCCACGCACACACGGCCTGACAGGCTAAACACAGTAAACATGATTGACAGAGCGCGCACGTGTTTTTCTGCAAGCTCGAGCCCGGATTCCCGCGAACTCACTCACTGTCTCGTGCTGTCTCGTTTTCTACACAAACTGCTGCGACCGTCATTATAGCTAACTCCATCAGGCTAGGCTCTGGACATCACGATTCCGAATAAGAGTGTTTTTTCCGCCCCGGAGCGGTGAGATACTCGATTCATCACGGCGCTGGTAATGACGGAAACATCGCACTGCTGCTGCTGCCGTCGCCACCACCACTACAACCACCGCCGCCGCCACCACCGCAATCACCATCATCATCATCATAATCATCACCATCATCATCATCATCATCATCATCATCATCATCAACATCATAACCACCACCACCACCACCACCAGCAACAGCAGCAGGATGAGGCGGAGAAGGTGAAGGTGGTGGAGGAGGAGGAGGAAGAGGAGGAGGAGGAGGAGGAGGAGGAGGAGGAAGAGGAGGAGGAAGAAGAGGAGCAGCAGTAGGAGGGCGAGAGTAATTGCACCATCATTTACCAGGCGGCAGCTTTACACGACAAGCAGCGGAAAATTTACTTCTCTCGCGCAGAATGAACTGCTAATGGATTGGATGCTGGTACTGTGCGCCATGGAATAACAAGATGGAGGAACAGTGAGACAGTGGAACAACAACATTGAGGAACTGTACCACAGTGAACTGTAAATGGAACAGACAAAAGAGGAACTGTGCCACCGGGAACTGTAAGGGGAACACACAGCTGGAGGAACTGCGACTTAAGCTGAACAGCAAACTAGAGGAACTGCGCGACAGCGACGATACTCACATTGTACCAGGTCTTCTTCTTCTTCTCCCCGCCCTTCGACGGCGCCTTGTTCCCGCCTCCACCGCCTCCTCCTCCCCCGCCTCCTCCGTCACACGGCTTATCTATCTTTGGCTGCTGCGCCGCCGTGGAGCCTAGCTCCAGCGGCTTCAGCGTCGGCTGGTCTCCCCTGCCCTCCCTGACCGCCGCGTGCACGTCCGGAGTCTTCTGACCGCTCGCCGGCCGGTCAAGCCTGGCGGCAGTGGCGGCGACGTCGTGCAGGTCAAGCTTCCAGTCCGACCAGACCCGCGGAATGTCTTTGGAGATCTGAGGTTCCGAGCTGCAACGAGAGAGGCGGCGGAGAGCTGAGAACGAGTGGCGGAGGAGGTGGTGGTGGGGGTGACCGCAATAACGGTTGAAAGTCGCATAGAATAATGCCAGCCGAGCTTGTATCTTAGCACAAAGCTAACTAGGCTAACTATTGCTTAGCATGGAGCAAGCTAGGCTAGTTGCTTAGCATAAAGCTAACTAGGTTAGGTGCTTAGCATAAAGCTAACTAGGTTAGTTGATTAGCATAAAGCTAACTAGGTTAGTTGATTAGCATACAGCTAGCTAGGCTAGTTGCCTAGCATACAGCTAACTAGGCTAGTTGCTTAGCATAAAGCTAACTAGGTTAGTTGCTTAGCATACAGTTAACCAGGCTAGTTGCTTAGCACAAAGCCAACTAGACTAGTTGCTTAGCATACAGCTAACTAGGCTAGTTGCTTAGCACAAAGCTAACTAGGTTAGTTGCTTAGCATACAGCTAACTATGCTAGTTGCTTAGCACAAAGCTAACTAGGTTAGTTGCTTAGCATACAGCTAACTAGGCTAGTTGCTTAGCACAAACCTAGCCAAGCTAGTTGCTTATCGTACAGCTAACTAGGCTAGTTGCTTAGCAAAAAACAACAAGCTTACCTAGTTGCTTAGCACCGAGCAAGCACAAAGCTAGCTAAGCTGGTTGCTTAGCACAGAGCAAACCAAGCTAGTTGCTTAGCGTAAAGCAAGCTGGGCTTGTTGATTAGCGCAAAGCATCCTAGTAAATAAGTACCGCATAAGCCAAATTAGTACTTAGAGTTGATCAGACGCTTCACATCGTTAACTTTATAGCTCAATGGCATCACGTGATAAGCTCATCGAACCCACACGGGGTGGTAGTGGCAGTGGATCTGCGTCCCGTGTAGAGAGCGTCAAGGTCTCCACTTCACGCACGTCCATATACCATACGATGTTTATCGTTAACTTTATAGCTCAACGACATCCCGTAATAAGCTCGTCGAACCCACGCGTGGCAGCACTAGTGGAACTGCGCCCCGTGTAGATAGATGGCGGTCAAGGTCTCCACTTCACGCACGTACATATACTATACGATGTTTATCGTTAACCTTATAGCTCAATGACATCGCGTGATGAGCTCGTCGAACCCACGCGTGGTAGTAGCAGCGGAGCTGCGCCCCGTGTAGACAGACGACGGTCGACGTCTCCACTTGATCACACACGTCCAAAGGCGATTAAACACGGGGTGGTACACGGACACGCTAATAAGCTAGTACGACAGCTAATCGGACAAGCGGCGGTACTCGCACGGCACACGCCATGGGAGGAGAGACGGATAGGAGAGACGATATAGGAGAGACGGAGCGCCGCACTGCAGGCGCGTAGACGCACGCCCGTCTGTTCAGGACGACAGACGCCTGGCGGGGAGAGGAGGAAGAGGAGGAACATACGCCAGCAGCACCCTGGCTGCGAGATCTAATAACCCATTACTGCGGGTAATAATCAACGCGTGGAAGAGGCAGCCATTATAACGTGACGCTGGTGGTGACGGGGTCTCTCTAACTCCCCCTCCCTCTCTCTCTCTCTCTCTCTTTCTCTCGCTCTCGCTCTCTCTCGCGCGCGCTCTCTCTCTCTATCTCTCGCAAAGACTCGATGCCAACCCGTTATTATAATAATCACGTAACACGGCGTCTAATAACTAGGTACGCAAGGTCATTGAAGAACATGAAAATCTATCCTCGTTAGCATCGAAACGTCTACCCTCGGTAAAACACGGAAAACCTACCGTTGTGAGTATATGAAAATCTACCCTCGTAAGTACATGAAAATCTACCCTCATTAGTTATATGGAAAAATCTATCCTCATTAGTTAGGCCTATATGGAAAAATCTATCCTCATTAGTATAGAAAACCCTACCTAGTAAGCATAGAAAAATCCATCCTAGTAATTACTACATAAAAATCCATCCCCGCCAGAATCGAAACTAGTTTGTACGACCAACACAATAGTAATTAAAATACATTTAACGGCAGGTCGATTGAGTTAATCAAAACAAAAATCTTTCGATTTCTTTCACGTAAATTTCGAAACGCCATTTTTGTTCTACCCGCTTACGTACGTGAGTACGCACTTACTCGTTCGATACCCTTTGCTCGCATATCGACGCCGCTATCTCTAACGACCCCCTCACCCACCCGCCGCCGCCGCCGCCGCCCAGCGTCGCCCCTTTTTAATAATTAAAAAATAAATAAATAAATAAATAATAATTTTATTTAATAATTAAGACGACGTGAGTCATTCGTCGACTGGCAGGGGCTTTGATGCCTCGCGATGCGAGGTCTAACGCGACTGTATCTCGCGCGAAATTTTCGGTGATAATTTAGTGCAAATTAGGCGCGTTTAGGTGCGTCTATTGTACGAGAGAGACAGAGGGGGGAGAAATGGGTGTGAATGAGACAGACAGAGCTAGAGGAAACGTGCCAGAGAGAAAGAGGGAGGGAGAGCGAAAGAGCGAGAGAGAGAGAGAGAGAGAGCGCGCGCGGGAGCGAGAGAGGGGATGGAATAGAGAGGTGGAGATGAGAGAGAAGAGAGGGAGAGAGAGCGCGAAAGCGAGAAAGCGAGGGAGAGAGAGAGAGAGAGCGCGAGAAAGCGAGAGAGAGAGAGAGAGGGCGCGAGAAAGCGAGAAAGAGAGAGAGAAAGAGAG